ATTATAGTGCAATCAAATGCAGCTAGAAATCGGAAGCCAAAAAGTGAACATCACAACCACTGCGTCAAGTGCCAAATGGTAAGGAGTATCACGTGCAGGAAGCACGAATTTATTTGTTGAAAACCGGTTAAAGTTGTTATTTGTAACTTATTCTTCTACAGTGATTGTGTCTAAGATAAATCAATTTATTATCCAGTGCCACGGTCATGGCGTGAGCTAAGTAAAACAATAAAATAGCTGCTTGACGGTGTGAGTGTAATTTATCGAAGCAGGAGTTGCCCATTTAAACTGTGTAAAATACAGGTCAATTTGTTATACGATATAACTAATTTTCTAACTCATCAATAAACTCCTAGTCAACTCCAAAACATCAAAAATATTTTGTAAAATGTGCTTTTGTAAAAATCATCAAAATCGTACGTTTAGCAATTATGTTATAAATGAAAAAATGCGAACTTTGTAATGGAAATTTATATTAAATTCAGAATCAGGGCGGCCGTTTCTAGCGTCGTCATCTCATCGACCGATTTCCCCCCTCCCAGGGCTGGTATTAGGTTTTGTGAGGCCCTGGGCGGAATACATTCTGTGAGGCCTTAAATTTATAGCAAAATTAAGTATTTAACGACTCATGCACTCACCACTAAAGAAGAAATAAATTAATAGATATCTTATATTTTCATAATTATTTACCTGAATATATAGTTAGTGATTATTTATACATTAAACTCTTATAAATATATTAATATAATATTTAATATCCGAAATAATTTATTAAGAAAAGTATTTATATTGCTATAATAAAATTGAGTTTTACATGCTTAATAATTATTCAAGTAGGTATTTAAAGGTAAAATATTTTAATCGTAAAAAATTAAATAAATTAAAATACAAAAATAATAAGTCAATACGTGTTCAAAATATTCTGTTCAAGGATGAAAATAAAGTGAATAAATAAAATTAATTTTTTCAATCTATAAATAAGCTATAAGCCTATAAATAATGATTGGTATTTCCACGATTTTTAATTAAAATGATAATCATGCTCGCTTAGTCGACTTGCTTCGTAGTTCATTTGTTCATTCAGTATTAATTTACAGTTATAATATATTTATAAGTAAATATTTATATTTTTAGAATTTGTACCTAACTATTCCATGATAATAAACGGCTTGGAATCGGTTGCCATATTTTCGTACAGCAATGAATATAATATGTGTATTATAACAAATACTATAAATGATTAGTATTTGATTATAATATACAATTACGCAACACAAAATACGAATACCTTACTATTTTTATTCTCATAAACGTGTGTGGCGCGAGGCCTTGATAAAAAAATTGACAATAATTGTTTTGGAGCTAAACGGCATTCGTTCCAATTTTTGATATTTTCATCTATTAGTAAGTATTATGTCTTAAAATTCTAGAAAAACCAATGTTAAATACAAAAAATTGGAGTTTTCAATTAAAGAGTAGGTATTAGTAAAACAACAATTAACACCATAATTTCTTTACAAGCGTTTAATGGTTTTATTTCTTATTGTAAAAAATTGTTACTATACATATTATATTTAAAGAATCGAGTAGTAAGCTAGGTATATATACTTGGCATTTAATGTTATGATTATGTAGAGTAAAATTAATGGCCCATGTATTTTATTTGCAATTTTAATTTTATAATTTGTAGGTGTTGGTAATTTAATTCACAAACGTAGGGTAATATTTTTATGTATTATAAAATACGTTGACTGAAAATGCAATGCATAATATTCTGCACCTATTGAATATTGATATGTAATTATTTTGACGGTAAAAAGCTATTGCTTATCACACTAATATTATACATAAATAATCATATAGGTAATTATTATAATAATATAATATGTATATATACATTTGTATATTATATAAGTTTTGTGTACATTGTACAGTATCATTCACGCTACACTTGTCTTGTATAAATATTAAATAGGTAGGTACGGTAAAAGAAGATATACACGAACACTCGTTTTATAATCACACATCGTAAAATATATAATATACTATTCGGATACTTAGAATTCGTGAAAATAATACTTCTCGACACCATTGTGGTTTCCCCACCTTCGTCCCTCCAGTAAATTTCCCCCCAAAACTTGCATAATCGCAATCAATGTACGAATGTACCTATAATATAAATACCTACGCTGTATGCAATTATGCCGTTTCTCCCATATACATAATAATATTTAGGTGCATACAGTTTTAATCATATTATATGATGTTACCTATTATTTTATATACGTGCTATGAAAGTCAAATTATTATGTATATATATTTTAATATTTAATACATTATATTATGAGTCAGTTTTGTGTACTCATGTACTAGCTCAATTGGGACATTTGAATCACGGGGGCGGTCAACTTAAGGTTGCTGCAGAAATAGCGTCAGTATGCGAAGGTGTTAGCGTTGGTCATGTAAAAAGGATCAGAAGAGTGATAAGGGGGAGAACGGTTGGGGGCCATCGTGTAAGAGTGGACGGTAGAAGGGGAAGTAGCGTTTTTCTTTTCTATCGGAATCGGAAACGCGTTCGCATTATTTCAATACAGTATATACGATATTGCGATATACATATTATTTATATTATTATTGTATATACGCGGTATATACAGTGTACTGCACACGGGTTACGGTACATAAAGTTTACGTGGGACGAACCATCGCAAGTGGGCCGTTTCGTATACACGCGTTTTCCTTGATATAACCATTTTTGGTCAAATCCTCTTGTATTAATTATTAATATTAATATTATTACTATAACTTTGGTCTTTTTTTCGGTTATACTTATTGTAGTTTTCGCAATTATACAATTATTGTTATTACTTACTAGGTAGGTACAATAAACCATTTATTACCATCTATATATATTATATACTATTCTTGAAAAATTAGGTAGGATATAGACTATTAAATTATATAGGAGTTGTATAGGACCTTGACGCTAAAGGTTTTAACGAGTTTAACAATACATCGATTAATTCGATTATGAACTTTGCGAATGTGCCAATCAATAATATTTGTTGATTTGAACCGTAATAAATAATGATCGATTTATTTTAAACTAATATAGGGTGACACGGTCACACGGGCCGAAGAAAACTCCAAAAATAGTGTGATAGTGATGTTGCAATGTTTGTTAACACAATCAGCTATATACAATCCACATATATGGCCATCTACTTTCGAATAATAATAATTCCATATTTTCTTTCCTACAGTTCTAAATAGTATAACAATATAAAATATAATATTATTAATTATTATGAATGTGTATGACAATTGCAGTCTATCCATAATCAATTATAGTCCCTTTGGATTTGGACTTTGTTAAACACCTATTTACATTAAACATTAACAGGTTATGCGTGTGAAAGAGTTATAAATTATAATACAGTAAAACTATCAAACTACTAAGTCTCACGGGCAACAAAAAAACTATCGGATTATAGAAAATTTCGTTGAATAGAGTTAAATTAATTTGATTTTCAAAACCAATTAACCAACCCGTTTTCGTTATTGTATAGAAGATTCACTGTGTATTATTTTAAGTGATTTGCGTGTAAAATCGTAAATATACTAAATTTTTCGTTTTTTCTTTGAACGAGGGKAGGTGTCCTAAAACAAAATAAATGTTCTCTATTTTTATTTTTAACTTATTATTTCACAGATCTTTTTCAGCAATGAATAAATGACATGGACGTTGGACTCCCTCTGTCTTAGGTCCTTCCAACTTGCGGCCACTATTTGTGAATTTAGACGTTTTGTTTTTTTTTTGTAATTTAGTTCAAAACAAATTAAAATAGAATTTGGTAATTGAGTGAAAATTAATTTTTGTTTTTATTTTTGTAGATAATGCACATTAAATATTGGAGCATCATTATACATAAATTAAATCGACAACATTTAAGTCCTTAAAACAATAAGTGTATTGTTTGATATTTTATATTCTTGTACATAAATAAAATATCTTGAGAACTGCGGTCATAATTTGAACAATTATTTACTTTTAGAATACGTATTGTTTTATATCTCGAAAGTTTAAACAATATAAGTAAATAGTTCGTTTAAAATTATGATTCTCTATAATCAGAATAAAAGTGTTTATAAAACGGGATTATGTATCTTTTTATAATATTCATTGATATTTTTTTTTTTTACTACTAATATCAAATAAGGGTTTGCACTACCTTAGAGGCCCAATAGATTGTTTAATATTTTAAATTATTCAGTATAATTATCATAAAATTTTGCAATTCAATTAAAAGTCTATTAATTAAAAATATTTATAGGACTGTATAAGGACTTATAAGTAATGATAGTACCTACCCTATGCGCGTATCGCGTGTGAACACATAGGTAATACACAGTACYTACCTACACTGTATCTTATGAATTATTGTAGTAAGTACCTCTATAAAAAGGTTAGTTGTTAATAAGACGTGATACTCGATTCTTTACTTAGCTTCTCGACCTAAAGCTATAATAACACTAAACGGCAAACTGTATTTTATTACCAAGGATTAATTAGACCAAGAATATATYCAAGAACAACAATAGGCACCTAAATCATCTCTCAAAATAAATTATTACAGCCTCATTTTTGAAAATTATTAAAACTCATACATTCAAATATTAGCTATAGCTGATATATTAATTATTAATTATTGTTGTTTTAGACTATTAAACTCTACTGTTATTCTCAAAAACTGAATTAGCAATAGGTACTTATAAAAATGTGAGTGCTTTTTGTATTTACGATATTGCATCAAAATGGGGTACCTATATTCTATATGTACCCCGCTTAACAAATTGTGGTTTATTAGAGAAATATTAAAATACTTAGGTATAGTATACCTTATATTATATTACGTATGTTTCTACTAGTTCTAGCTATGCTACTTAAATAGTGTAATACAAATATGATAGTATTGATGTATAATATAATATGTACTTACCTATTGGCGAGTATAATACAGTTAATATATTATATATGTATATCTCGTTGAATGCGAATRATATATTAATATATACGATGGATTTAGAGTACACCCGTGAATGCGGTGTTTGTTCGACAGGAGCACGGGTATAACTGAAACGGAAAAGTTTGGCCGCCCCGCGGCTTTACCACCGCAAACGGATGCTTGTGCATGTGCAAAACGTTCGTTGTAAGGCCCACGCCCGGCCGGTCCCACGCGCAACGATCTCTCTGTCACCGCGAGAACAGCCGCATCGTATAGACACGCAGATATATAGGTATAGGTATAATAGGTGTAATAATATAGCATATAATAATAGAGTTTGAATACTTATTCGTTGTCCGTCCTCCTTCGACCGTTGATCTTTTTATTGCTAAATTTGGTCAAACCGAAACGAAAACGGCTGCACGGTCGCGAGTTATAATACTATAGCTATAGGTACCTACCTATATAATATTGTATTTGCATACGCATTATTATACATGCACAATATAATAATACAAATCACTATACAGGGTGACGGTCTAGCCGCGTTAGCAATATGTTTCGTCGCATATAGTGCATACTAAACAGAAAAACCTCCGATTTACGCACGCGACGAGCATTACGAAATATGTACTCACAACATAATATTGTATAATATGATAAACATGACATTATTTCTTGTATTGTTTGTTCTGGCTCAAAGAAAAAGAAAAAGAAGAATAAAACGACTTTTATTCAATATAAATTTGTAGGTATAACTTGCTTAGCCAATTTATGACGTTCACCTATATATAGGTATGTAAACATTTTAAAACTATTTTGAATTAGTATAACCATTTCCGTCAGGTACTTACTGTTAAACATTCAAATAGTTATTTTAAGTAGGAGGTAGCTGTTGAGAGTATTTAATACACACATATACAGTGAAACTTCCATACACCTAATGAAGTCGCAAATGGGAAACAAAAAAATTGTAATATAGAGAAATTCATTTTCGCACAATTTAAAATGAAGGTTATGGTTCTCAAAAGTAATTTTTTATACAGCAAAATTTCGTTGAATGGAAGTTCGTTTTATGGAAGTTTCACTGTATATAATATGTTACATAGTAGCTAGGTGGCAGATAATATGTACTGCGACAAAATGCAGCAAGCACCGTTAATAATTACCTATGCATAAAGGAGGCACCTATATATTACACATACATATATTATAGAACTATAATTACATAAAATATTGTACGGTGCTTTTGTATCTTTTGTAAAGCGTCTGCAATCTGCACTACAGCGGATGCGTAATAATAGTAGGATCCTATCACATAAAATATATTATAATATGCAGATTTGTTTTTATATTTATAAGCTTTCAACTAATGCTGATAGGTAATTTAATTCCGTAACAATATAATGTAATACACTGTCATAAAATACTATTGCTGTAGGTACCAATATTATAACTAATGCTAGTTTCGAAATAATTGCAGTGAACGTGTGAACGATATATTATTACAGTGGCGAATCTCGTTTGGAAGGGGAACTATAAGAGATTTGTCTCCATCCCATGTTTAAAGACCTCGGTGGAAACTGATTGTGCACGATCCCTATTTCTTAACAACCTGATTGAGCACAGTCAAACGAATACAACGTTGCCAATTTTTCTGTCCATCTACAACCAAGCACCGATACATATTACTTTTTTTTAAATACTCGTATATAGGTTAAATTTACTATAAGCAAAACCGGGGTGAATATTCGTCAATCGTTGTGCTTTGCAACTTTACAAGTATTTTTATGAGTTATGATGGGGGTATTTAATTCTAAAAGAATGGCGATTATTTTAACTCATAGTTTCCCATTGGTTGTTGGTAAAAGTGCTATAAGTCAAAAGAAAATCGATAAATATAGGAGTCTGTGTGAAACTATACCTAGGTAAATTATCAGGCCTGGACAAGCCCATCATGCGATATTTGGGTCATTGAGCTGAAACTTCATTGTTTTTTGTTATTTTTTAATTTTAAAACTAGAATTGGATTAGAGATGAACTATTAGTTCTACAAAAGTGTATTAATTTCTCGGCTGCTGACCTCTTGGGTAGGTACCTATTTCGCAACGAAAGGTTAAAATATGTTTAGTATAGGTATTTAAAATTATTGGATTAACAATTACTTATTAGTACCTATATTACAATGTCAATCTAGAAATATCGGATAATTGTATGCATTGGGCAAATTGGGTAAATAGTGTGATGGGTCAAACCAGGATTTTTAAATCAAACTGAACTTTATATTTTCGAACTAATTGAACCGAACTGAACCTAGAATCAATATAAGTCTAACTCGAATTCAACATATTTATTATTTATTTTTAAAATATATTTAAAATATTATCATTAGTTAGGTCATAAAAATTATATATTATCATGAGAAATCTCCAATTGTTCTACTGATTCAGGACTAATTTTCTGTCTCCTCAAACCTCTTAGTAACAATTTGTCTTGCTTTTGAGAACATGTGCTCAGAGCAAACGGACGTGGCAGGAATACCTAAATATTTCATTGCAACTGGCAATACATTTGGGAATTTAGTTTGATTAGATCTCCACGAAGTTAAAGGATTTGATGTTGTACCATTTCACTTCACATGTTTTTATCAACAGCACTGCCACGGTATCGGAATATTATCATGGATTTACCCAAAATAGATTTTACCCTCTTCAATAAATATGATAAAAGCAAAAATATAGGAACATTATGATTGTAGGCCTGCAGCCTCTATTGCAAGCAATAAAAAATTTATAAATATTTAGGCCAGTGGGGGTGAATCTGTAAAGGGCCATTGAAAAAATAACAAAATATTACTATAAATGGTACACAACGTGCCCGTTACAAATTATCACTTTCTATCGCCAATAGTCTAATTATTTCTAAATAATCATCAATTTTATTTATTTTTTAAATAACTTTTGAAGAATTATTGTACAAATATCTGGTCTTTGAACTATCGTGGCCAAGTCCGAAGTCTGGTTCAACAAATATTTTCAAGTTCAATTTTCGACCAGTAAAAAATGCTTGATACCTGTTGGGTTCGAATTTTTTTCGTACCGAGTTCAATTTTTGAATCGAACCATTGATGTTCGATTTGGTTCGATCATTATATCAAATACCATGTATAGTATAGGTTACAACGTTTCTCTATAATTTTAAAATAATTGAGTAAACAAAAAAAAAAAAAACATGGATGGAGAAATAACTTTTGATTATCCAATTGAAAATCAAAAAGATGTATTTAATGTAATTTATGACCTAGTAATAAATAGTTTGGACTGTTTGGAGGGAATATTTTCAAAACATTAACAATAATAATTCAAACCAATTAGTATTGTGAACTATAAGTATTTAGTAGGTACCTAAATAAAAAAAAAATATACTGACACAATTTATTTTGAAAATAATAAAAACGGCAACGTACGTATTTCTATGCTCAATCGTTGGCAAACAAGCCATTCCTGACATCCTGACTTTGATTGGTATTCACTAAGTTCACATAACGGTATTTCTATTATGACTTGTAATATATCATAGATAATAAACAATTTAAAATAATATACTAATAATAAGTACATATCAAGTAATAAAACATACTTATCTCTTTCAAATATCATTCGAAATGTACTTTATTAATAATAAAAAAGGCTTATTAATTTCATACATATGGAAAATAAAATACCTCATAATATTATTTAGTTATACAGCGTTTAGTATTGTAATAACGCAAAAATAAAAGAAAAGAATTTAAAATAATATGAATAAAATTCTAAAATAAATAATAATATAACTAAAATAATTAAGTTAATACAATTATTATATAACTAAGGCTCCTGCCAATAGTTATATATTACTAGTAGAAGATATGAGGATATTAGAAATAAAAATGGTGTTTGGTTGATTTATTGAGTTACACTAAAGGATTTGTATTGTTCTCTACTCGTATAAGAGCTGGAGAATAAGCTACCAGATATAAATATTAAAATTGCGCTATTACCTTCCTCCTGATCGTCGGAGGGTTCTCGAGGTCGTGATTCGAGAACGATCAAGTACACCGTAGTAATAAAATATTAATTATTAAATTATAAAAATCTAATAAATACAATATAATATATGAAATTATATGAATATTGATGCGCATGCACCTTACCTTATTCGCAGCTGTCTTTGATATGCAGTTTACGTAATAAAATAAATAAAGGTATTTTTTATTAAACACTCAGATTAAAGAAAAACAACACTGTTAAATTTCGATTTTAAAAAAGAAACGGTCCAGCTGTCGCTCGCAATGTCTGGTGTTGAAAAGTTTTTAGGTGCTCCTGCAATCTTGAAGTTGTTTTATATTTGGAGGGTGCTCACTGCTCATACACTTGAGAGTGGTGCTCATGCACTGATGGAAGGAGACGACGTGGTCCAGCCAGCCAGGGTTGTAGGTGGCTCCMCCAAAGGCCTCTGCGTTTCCAAAGACTTAGCATTGTCTTTGGCAACAGAGATCCTCATTGGACCATCCTCTGCTCTGGTGGCACACGAAATAGCTCACACGTGTTGTGCCAGATAGTCACAACTACGTATAAGTTCTCATGTGATTAAATAATACAAATCGTTCCTTTCATCAGTGGACAATGGTGTTTTTTTTGTTGGATTTTAACTGTTATCTGTGGGCGACAACTTGACTGTTATTTATTTTATTGAATATTTAAACAACATACAATCATGATGTGTGAGCATATCATTACAGTATTACATAATACAATGGATTTATTAAGCTGGATATTACTGTTTTTCTCGTAATAGCTTAGGTATCTGCGCATTCTCGGGACTTTATCGTCTTAGTATCTCACCATCATGTTGTTTAATTTCAAAAAATATATAGGTGTGTTTTTAGTGCAATGGATGAATATTAATCGAAAATTTTACATTTTATAAAGATTCATTCTAACTGTTCACTTTACCATGTATCATGTATGAGCTTTTATAGTTGTTAAAGAGTAATACTTATTAATAAATTAGCTTAAGGGGAACCTATAGCCTGCATGTTGAATATCAATACATCATATTATTTGATAACAACAATCCTGAAATAAAACTTGTCCTTCCAT